AAGATCCTCAGAGAGTAGCCATAAAAGCTCATACTAGTGCGTCTCGCCGTCTCCCAAAGTTGCTAGAGTCCCACAAACTTTTTGAAAAGGGACAGTCGGGGGCCTGGGCAATAGTCGAGCAGCTGCCCGGGGCTCCGATATAACTAGGAGTGTTGCAATGGATAATGCGCTCACATGATCCTGTTTCTAATCCTGTTCCGTGTATTATATCTATGTTGTATGTAATATGTGGTTAGCAAACAATAAACAACTGTTGTAGAGATAGACCTGCAACAGTGAAGTAAGGCTGTTGTATGGCTATATGGAAACCATTATAGACCCTCTAGGTGCTAAGATTATTTTCAATGAATATAATTACAATAATGATATTCATTCATAATAAATAAAATTTTCCTATATGGTATCCACCCACGATGAAAATTACTGACGGCAAGAAGGCCTCGAGATCAAAAAAAAATCAAAGGCGGTGACACCGCCTGGCCATTTTTCTGAGTGCTACAAGGTACTACAGGCTTACAAGCAGCATTTATGGAAAGTATGGAGGCCAGACTACATCATATAGACCAGGTAACTGTTGCTACAACATAGTTTTCCTGCTATGCTTCATTTCGGCACCTTGGGCTTTGATCTGCCTTTGATGTGGAGAGCTTCTTGCCGTCAGTAATTTTAATCGTGGGTGGCTACTGTAAATAATTCATACAAAATAGTCTTAGCGCCTAGGGGGTCTATAGTTGTGGCTAGCCATACAGCTGTTGTAGAGATAGACCTGCATGGGCTCTAACTCCACGATTGTTGCAACTATATAAAAACCAGCCATATAATTTTAAAGCTCTTACCATTTTTAGTAGTAGTACTTTTATGCGAATCTATTATAGTCACTTGTTGTGATGTCTTAGCCTGGGATCTAGCCGCATCGAAAGGGGTGAGGGCCTGGGGCTTTGGGTAGTCCATATTTTAATTATTTTTGACTACTGATGTCTTTAAATGTAATAAACCTGAAATAGATATCAAATAAATCTAACTTATTCAACTAGACTTCTGAGTTCTGACTCAACAGCTGAACACAGTTAACAGCAGCTCAACCAGTCAACAAGCCTGGACAAGTCACAGTGAACAAGCAATCAGCACGTGTTTGACCTGTCTGTCTACGCATGCGCACTTCCTGGAGAGTAGACTAGATCAAAGATGGCCTCTGCAGCAAGGAGAGGGCTGACCACTGCAGGATCTGTTGCAGCCTCAAGGAGGACTATTCCTGACGGAGTATGGCCTACAATGATAACTCCTTTCCTTAGCAACAAGGAGAAATCAATTGACTGGAAGGGACTGGACAGTAAGACTTGAAAAGACAAATTTCTTTATCCTATTGTTCCCTTTCTCTTCTCCAGTGTTAACTGAATGGTATATTAGATCAGGTGTGGCTGGCATATTCTCTGTCTGTCTCTCAAGTGAAATGTTCCAGGTCAGAGAAAAATGAAAGCAAACTATGCATGCATGATAGTAACAATAGTACTTAGTCTTTTACGACTGAGAGCTACCTGCAAAAAATTATTATAAATACCAAAAATATTCATTTCGTTATTCTATAGTTAACTAACAAGGAAAGAATAGAAATTGCTCAAAGAGTTGTGGATAAAGCAGCTGGACGAGTACCTGTTGTAGCTGGAGGTACAAAGAAAATAAAAGATTATTATAATGTATAAAATTTGTTCCTCTCTCTCTCTTTCTCTCTAGCTACATTTGAGGGTAATTTGGACGAGCAAGCTCAACTAATGAGGGACATGGGGCAAATAGCATCTGCTGTCATAATTATAACCAATCAGATTGCAGCAATGGATGATGTAAAACTAAAAATAAAATATTACAAAGCATTACTGAAGCTATCTTTATAGAGCGATGAGGTATGGTTATCTAATGCTCAGAAGTTATTAGATCTAACTGGTGATATTCCAGTTGGTATCTATGAGACACCAATACCTAAAGTCAGGTGTGCAATCTCAGGAAAAGAAATGATGATATACAATAATAATAATAATATTTAGGAGTCTCACACCAGCCATGTTAAAATGGGCAGCTAGTAATGACAGGTTTGTGTTTCATAAAGACACGTCACTTGATACAGCGACAATGATCAACAAGTTAAAAGCTGTACAATCAGTTGAAAGCACTAAACTGAAGTTAGTTAGAAAGGGAGAGCAGAAGTAGAAATGGGAGAAGGAAGAGGGAAAATAAGTTAAAGGAAGAAATTTGAAGTCAAACTATTTTGTATTTTGAGTAGATTTTTTACTGCTAAAACTCAGTTTGTGAAGACCCTACTTGATAATGGTGGCAAGTATGTAATAAGAATTCCTTGCAAAATGACAGCTTTTTGTTCATTCTCTCTCTCTCTCTCTCAGTGGGTTTAGTGGTGTCATTGCTAACTTCTTTCCATGGATGATGGTTTGGATGACAGGGAAGGGAAGAGAAGTGGGAGAGAAAGAAAGAGAGAAAATGCATCGATTTCTCTCTGTTTCTGATAGAGTATTAGCACACAAGGTAAGCTCATGTTTAGTGGCTTCTTTTTTAATGAAAACTTTTTTAATGCTATCTTTTCTCTCTTTCCTTCTCCTACTTCACAGTATCCTACATCAGCAAAAGTTTATTTAAATAAGTTCTACAATGCTCCCCTAGCTCCTGTTTCTAGAATATTTGATGTTACACTAAATGAGCAAGACGTATGTCCATTTATAAATATATATAATAATACTTTGTTTTTTTCAGTTAATGTCTTTGGAGTCTATGAAGGAATATATGGAGGAGACAGCAAAGGAACTGGGCGTGGCTATAGTAGACCCAACCTCCCAATAATTTAACATTTATATTCTCGTTTTGTAATTTTTGCAATTTTTATTTTATCAATAACAAATATACATGTGCCATTACATGTAGTTTAAGAGACGATGTATAATAATAATAATAATAATAATATAGAACACTTTTATAATGCCACAAATATTATGCGTAGTGTAGGTACAGTCAATGTTGTAATAATAATAATAATAATAATAATAATAATAATAATAAAAGTATAAAATAAGCCGATAAAACAATTTATGATCAATAATCTTCGACAATTAATTTACTGATGATTCTGTAAGAAAAGAAAAAGGAGGGAGATCAAGTGGGGGGAAGGGAAGAAAAGAGAATGGAAAAAAGAAGGTAGAAATGGCTAGAAAAAAAACAGGACAATAGACATCAAATATAAGTTACAAAAGGGGACAACCTCAAAGGTCAAGACTCAAGAATAAAAGTTTTAAGTCCAAAGGTCAAAGTCCAAAGGTTAAAGTCCAAAGTTTAAAGTCCAACGGTCAAAGAGCTCAATGTCTGAAATCTTCATCAGAGAAATGAAGTTGAAATTCATGTTCCATAAGTAGAGGGGACTGATTGTGGGTTGGATTGAGTGAGGCTGAGGGAAACGGTGAAGAGGACTGGAAGGATGGAGATGAGAGGAATGACTGAATGAAAGGGGGCGGGGTCAGAAGAGGATCGGTACCAGCTGGCAATACTTCATGTGTGAACTATAAAAGAGAGAAAGAAAGAGGTGAGCTAAGTTCAAGCTTGTGTTTAATCTTTTATATAAAGATTAAACACAAACTAATGATACTGTATAGCACCAAATTTTTGTTAATCAAAATTTTTGTTAATTTCATCAGTTTTATTTGATGAAATTATCTACAAGTTTCTACATTCTACAATAAACCAATCATAGCAGAATGATGGATTTTCTTCACCCAACATTTGATGCTATACAATAGTACATGTACGTGTATATTTCTATGCTAACCTGATGCTGAGATGACGCAGTGAACAAGTTAGTGTCGCTATTACTTAAAATATCATTCAAATCAATATCAGCATCACCGACGCAATCAGTCGCTGAATTCGCATTAATAGCAGCATAGCCCATCGCCATGACTGTCGTCTCTAACCCTCCTCTCTCGTTTAGCTTCAATAACTCATTAGCCCCGCCCATGGGCGTGGTCGGGGTGGTCTGTGTTGGAAGGTGGGAGAGGTCTTCCCCTAAGGTGGTGGTGCTGTCAGCCTCGCAGTGTAAGGATTGCTGGAGTTGCCCACCACTGGAGCTAGTTGTAGGAGTGGTAGTCAATGGAGATATGACTGTAGAGCTGGTCTTTGAAAACTGCATCTGAGATTAGGAATGGAGGAGAGAGAGGGGGGGGAGAGAAAATATGATAAAAAAGCATAAGATTTGTGTACATTCACTTACATTTGAGCATCTCCTTCGTAGACACGCCTTCCTCAGTTTCCCCGTCCCTCCATATTTGGGACTATCGAGACAAAACTTACATGTACCGCAGGGCTCGGACATGCACTCTGGACACTGGCCACACCTTACTTTCCTTAATGGCTTAACGGAGTCTTTGGTCGACTTCTTACGCTTTTTGACGGGTTTTTGAAGAGAAGGGAACGTAGCAGAGCCCTCTACAGTGGGAGTTGTATCGCCGAGCGTAGGCGTTGTATCGCTGAGGATGGGCGTGGCTTCACTGTGAAAGAACTGACGTTTGAGATTGGATAACAAGAAAGGTTTTGCTGGTGTTGTGGGGGAAGGAGAGGGAGAGGAGAGAGAGGGGGTGGAGATAATACCGGCAGAAAGAGGAGGTTCGAGCTGCTGTGAGGACGAGGTTAAGAGAGAAAGGAGAGGGAGGGAAGGCCGAGACGTGAGAAGAGAAGAAGTCAGAGGAGTTAGAGGAGTTGATGAAGATGAAGGAGGTAAGATATGATCGAACGGGAATGACGTGGGCGGAGGAACGGGAGGCGTGGTCAGGGAGTGGGTGGGGTTTAGGGTAATGAGGGGGTAATCTGGATTAAGCTGATCGGTGGATAAGTGGGTGGGGCTCTCCGCTATCAAAAGGTGAGAGGAGTCTGTATGGGCGGGGTCAGAAGGCGTGACAAACTGGCCGTACGAGTGATCGTGATTAACACGAAGAATTGGCTTCGTTTCGGAATCAAAATTTTGATCCGGTATTGATTCCGGATTGATATAAGATCTCAACAAGTCCGTACTTGCTAAAAAATCGTCGTCGTCGAAATTCACATCTTCGCTCTTGATTGGGACTCCGCCCAAAGCCACATCGCCAAACAAACCAGCTTGAGCATTATTATTCCTATCTCCCTCTAGCCACTGGAAGTCATCAAGTACTGATACATCAGTGGGTTTGTCACTGAGGGTGGAGTCAAGGAGCGGGTTTTGAAGCTGCTTTGAAAGCCGTTCCAAAATACCTCGAGGGTCGCTAATTGAAGGCGGGACATCACCCGAGAATAGGTTATCCTCTTTCATTTTATTGACCAGGTAAACGAGTCCAGCCTTCTCGTTATCATTCAAAAACGGCTTCATCATGTAGTCCCTGTATGGAGCACCCTCGCCTGGTTTCTGAGAGAAGTGGGAGGAGAAATGGGCGTGGCCACCGGTCGCTAACTTCTTTAACTTTACGCTCACCAACCAACGGCCTGGTATATTCATTGAGGAGGAGGAGGAGGTGGGTGTGTCAGTCATAGTCCCAGAATCAGACATTGGCTCCACCCCAAGACGTGAGAGCTGAAGGTGATATCTCTCAATGAGGTACCAATGGAGGGTCCCATAAAATGGATACTTGAATCTTCCTTGTACCTGAAATACAATTAAAATACTTTTTAAAATGGTCATAACTCAAAAAATTGCATCAATATGTATCAAAAAATGTAATAAAAATTGGGGGTGATTTCGGAGCCATTTTTTGGAAAAAACCATGGGCTATAGTACAGGGTATTTTTCCCAAATTTGGAGTTTTTAAAAAATGGCTGTAACTCAAAAAATTGAAGTCGGAATCGGCTCAAACTTTCTACATAGCATAAGTACAACAATATGTATCAGAAATTGCAATAAAAATTGGGGGTGATTTTGGAGCCATTTTTTGGAAAAAACCATGGGCTATAGTACAGAGTATTTTTCAGAATTTTGACGTTTTCTTAAAATGGCCGTAACTTGAAAAATTGAAGTTGGAATCGGCTCAAACTTTCTACACAGCATAAGTACATCAATATGTATCAGAAAATGTAATAAAAATTGGGGGTGATTTTGGAGCCATTTTTTGGAAAAAACCATGGGCTATAGTACAGGGTACTTTTCAGAATTTTGGTGTTTTCTTAAAATGGCCGTAACTTGAAAAATTGAAGTTGGAATTTGCTCAAACTTTCTACACAGCATAAGTACATTAATATGTATCAAAAAATGTAATAAAAATTGGGGGTGATTTTGGAGCCATTTTTTGGAAAAAACCATGGGCTATAGTACAGGGAATTTTTCAAAATTTTGACGTTTTCTTAAAATGGCCGTAACTTGAAAAATTGAAGTCGGAATCAGCTCAAACTTTCTACACAGCATAAGAGCATCAATATGTATCAGAAAATGTAATAAAAATTGGGGGTGATTTCGGAGCCATTTTTTGGAAAAAACCATGGGCTATAATAGTACAGGGTACTTTTCAGAATTTTGGTGTTTTCTTAAAATGGCCGTAACTTGAAAAATTCAAGTCGGAATCAGCTCAAACTTTCCACACAGCATAAGGACATCAATATGTATCAAAATTACAATGTACTAGATCCTAATTCCCGTCCCATTTTACTTTTAAATCTCTCTCCATGTAAGCTACTGTCAGCTGCTGGCATATGTGAAGGGACAGGAGGAAGTTCCCGCCAAAAACGAGAGACTGCTTAGGAGTATAGACCCCATGAATCCATCCTGAGAGGAACACAAAGAGAGACAAAACATAAAACAACTATTACGTGACATAACATACAATGTAGCTAGAAAATTAGGCAGTATAAAATTTTGGTGAATTTTTTGAGAATCACATAGCTTAAGAAATGCACAAAAAATGTTAACAAAGAAATTTGCACTCTTAATCAAATTTCTATTGCATACACCAAATTTTCTACATGTGCATCACCTAAATACATGTACATGTACATTACAATACATGTATGTACATGTACATGTACACACTTACCGGATGGTAGGAGTAAAGTGTCACCTTCCTTGAGATGTACTACTCCACAGTCTCTCACGATATCGGGAAAGAATATGCACTCTTGTCTTCCGTTTTTTTGCCAGTCAAGGAAGAGAGTGTAGTTACTGTGAGATGGAGGAACGAGGAAGAATATCTTCTCTCCTTTTAGGATGTGATACCAGACTGACGTGCCACCGAAATCAAGATGGAAGTCAGTGTAACAGCCAGCAACACTCATCAGGCAATATCTGGGGGGAGAAAGAGAGAGAAAAAAAATTAAGTATAAGAATGAAATGGAAGAGACAAGAGAGAATGAGAGGGGAAGAACAACTTAGATATACATGTACACATACTAAAGTATCATTATCATTAAAGTATATATCATTACTAAAGTATAACATTCAGTAGTAAAAGCACCAACTTCATTTACTCTATTATCTATGCTTCCATGTAAAACAGAGCAAAACATGACACGTGCAAGAATACACATAACATTACACATGCAGTGTATATTTACTTTTGGACTTTAGGATAGAGCATTCTCTTAATGTCATTAGTTGGTTCAGACTGCTTCTGTCTCAAGGACCTAGGCCAGACCTTATTAACCCAGTCCATCTCTCTCACCTAATCACATGACAGTCACATGACAATCACACAAGGGTCTCGTGATATTGCTACACTTACAACTAGCGGTGCTTCTACCAGTGGGTCCAATTGGGTGTGGCTAAATTCGAGACTGATGACGTTTAAGATTCGCTTCATATCTCCTCCGCTTCTCTCCATCTTCTGATAATAATTGCAGTACTCACTGAGAGACATGTTAAGGGCTTCTTGTGTGGTGCTGTCAACAACATCCACCATTCTCTCCGAGCCTACAAATAAATAAATAAATAAATAAAAACAACAACAATAACAACAACAACAACATAATAATAATAACAATACTTTTCGATTATGTGAAGCTGAGGGCAGATATCAAGGGGCTCAGGTATTACATTACTGATACTCACCTCCAGACACACACACACACTAGTCACTGTACCATATAACATACATAGCATATTGTAAGTGATAAAAAACAGTAAATTAGCAATTCTTATACAACTTCCTTGATAATAATATTATGATAATAATTCTATTAAGCCTGACCCTGAACGCTCACTCATGCAGGTACATGATAGTTTACAGAGTGACATAACTTTATTTGTAAACAACATTAGCTGGAAGTCAATAATCCTTGAAGTAGTATAACGCTCACTATCTACATGTACATGTACTATTCGTACTATAATACTGTACATGTACATGTATGTAATTCAATTAATATGACTATCATAATACATGTATATGTATACTAGTTTATTATCATTATTTTATCAATACAGTCAGGCCTGCCTATTCTTGCCAGACCCAATAATGCCCTCCTGATTATGAACCTGTCCTTATTTCAGAGGTTCATTAATACACATTACTATTGTATTGGGACTGATACTACCCCTCCTGATTATA